CTCTCTTTCTATTTCTCTCTCTACCTACCTACCTACTCTCTTTCTCCCTACCTACCGTGTCTCTCTCTCTCTCTCTCTCTCTCTATTTCTCTCTTTCTATCCCTCTACCTACCTACCTACACACACTCTTTCCCTACCTACCTACTGTATTTCTCTCTCTATCCCTTTATCTACCTACCTATCTACCTAACTACTCTACCTACCTACCTACTGTATTTCTCTTTCTTTCTCTCTCTCTATCTAACTACTTTTTAAAAAAATTGCCTCTTCAAAACTTTGGTGTCTTATACTCCAGTGCATCTTATACGCCGAAAAATATGGTAATGATATATTTTTATAATGGGATTTGCTGTTTTGATATGATGAAGCTGCAAACAAGACAAATGCAATTTTAGGATTCATCAAGATTAGTTCCGTTTCTAAATTGCAGGAAAAAAATAATTCATTTTGTTCTGCGTTGACTAGAGACCACATTTTTAAGAATGGTAATCAGGTCTGGGCATTATATCTTAAGAACCAGATCAGATTTAGAGAAATGTCACCAAGATTATTTACTACAAAGTAAAGAGAAGAAAAATTGAAATTGAGATAGGTTAACCATGAGAAGACAAGACTGTGGAAATGTATATTTTAAATACCTTGAATTATGTCATTCAAAAGATCAAGAGCTTTGTAACATGTGGTTCAATGGTAGAAGCAGTTATCCAAAAAAGTAGGAATCTCCCTTCACTGAAAGTGTTCAAGCAAGGATAAAACTGCCATCTGTCAGGGATGCTTTAATTTAGAATCCTGTACTGAGTAAAGGATTAGACCCAATGGCCTAAAAATCCCTTTCCAATTCTCTTCTAGCATTTGTATTATCCCAATTTTATTCCAGTTTGAATATAAAATTGTAAAAGTTTATAGACTATTTCCTAACTTGGTCATATTACAGTACAAGTGAAGGACATTCTGCCAATTTTCTATGGTAAGAAAAATTACTGGATAGGAGAGAATTGATTTAAAAAAGTCTGCTAAACCAAGCCATATTAGTAAACCTTTGCTTATAAACATAGCTTCCTGCAGGGGAACAAGAAGCACTCTCATGTAAATAAAGACTTAATATCAAAGTAAGCTAAGAAATAACCCTCAATAATAGGAGAGGACAACTTTTCACCAGGGACCACAATTCAAACAACACAATACATGTTTTGCATATAAAAGGCGCAATGCCGAATTTCCAGCTAAAGTATCAAATTGATATGAAAGATTTCTGTTTGAGATCATGAAGAATCCAAGTTCTGACCTAGATGAACTGGTACCGTGATCAAAGACATTTACACAATAGTCACATTTAGGTTCCCTTGTAACCCATCAATCTATTTCCACAATTACAAGGAAAAGTAGCCTGAGCATACAAGTGATAAACGTATAGTGAGAACAATAATGTGCATTTAAATATTTCCCCTAAAACCTTAATGTGTCAAGCTCCGTTATTAGTCTTCAGATTGGTGTTAAAGTTTGCAAGGATAAGGGTGCATTTATCAATTTTCCAGAGATTTGGAATTTGCATATGTATTTCATTGAACATACTTAAAACTACCTGCAGACCTTAGTGTTTACTTTAAGACCATTAAAGGCATCTGGTTACCTAACATAACTAGGAACATGACTTACGTATGAACCCTCATCCTAAGGATGATGTTAATTCTCACTAATTCTGGCCAAATGCCCACAGCAGAATAAGGATAAGTGTGTAGCAGACATGAAGCTACACACTGAACATTCACTCTCATAACTTCAAGCTTTCATTCTCATTTTTTAAGAACATTAGACTTAAATTTCCATAGTAACTCTTACACAATATACAATTATAAGTTTTAACTTACTCTGGCCCTTCCATTTCTTCCTCTTCCTCTGAAGATGAATCCGTTTCTTCCAAATCCCGAGCCATCCCAACTGGCATATCCTGTGTATGTTTTCACACAGCCCAGAAACAATGAACCCTTAATATTTTCACTGTAGAATCAGAAAATCTAACCAGTACTATATTCTTCTATGAAGAAAATGAAAATTCAATTATCAGAGTAAATTGGAGATGTACAATAATCAAGCTTCTTAGTACAAAGCCACATACAGTTTCCAGACATTTTATTTTAATTTCTAATTCAACCAGCGGCTATGATTGTATTAGCTGGATGACTTTGGGCCAGTCGCTCTCTCTCAGCCCAACTCACCTCATAGATTTGTTATTGTGAGGAAAATAGGAGGATGAAGGTATCTTGGATATACTCACTACCTTAAGCTATTTGTAAAAACAATACAGGTAAATTTTTAAAAAAGATACTCATTTATTTGAATTCTATAGTCACCTATCTCAACAAATGATTCTGAGTGGCACACATCATAAAAACATAAAACAATTATATATAATCACTGAGTAAAACTATTGCCATAATTGTTAATTCAGCCAAGAAAAAGGGCCCTTAAAGTACTCAGATCAGGGCATATAGCCAGGCCACCAAGACCTTACAAAGGGCCAACAAGGTTAGGGTGATCCTAATCTCTGAAAGGGGAATGTGTCCAGAGGGCAAGGGTTAAGGCATGTCTCCTAATCTCTGCCAGATTATATTCCTTGGCTGGCACGGCCATAACATCCCCAATTCATTATTTTAATAATTAGATCAGGAATGGTGTAAGGAAGGAGTGAAGAGCAATTGAAGTTCCTTTCCGCAATCATTTTTCTGAGATCCTTCTTAGGAGCAAAATAGGTGAAAGGAAATCAAAATGGGAGAAGCAGCAGGGAGAGAAAAAGATGGAGAAAAGATTCCAGCTTCTCTTCCCATCCATTTCCTTGCTGCACAGTCTCTGAGTCATATATATATATTGGATTATGTAAACATAAGGCGTCTAAAGCATACAGTAGCAGAAATAGTTATTGCTAAGGAATCTTAAAAACCTTTGCTGGGCTCGGTCAATCTTCTGGGCAATAAAATAAACAGACCGTCCATACCTCAAAACCCCCAGTATCAAAATGAGATTCAACCCCCTTGTCTTAAAGATTGCCTGCCCTTTCTGTGACTCCCGGGGATACTTTTCCTGAGGGTTCAACAGACACTTGCAATAAATACTTTTTGCGTTCAAGTTTAGTCGATTGGCAATCAAAACTTTTCTTTGCAGAAATTTGGCAAAGAAACGAAAGTAAGGCAGGGCCCGCGGCAGAAGAGGGCACTGCCTCTTAAGAGGGAAGAGGCGGCAATCTCTGCCGGAGAGCTCGCTTGTCCCATTTCGTGGGAATCGCACTCCTGGCTCTTGAGGAAGAAGGAAGGGATCAGGAATGATGCCGGAAAGCTCCGGAACCTGGTTTCATCCCACACAGGGATGAATCCGGAAAGCATTGCCTGAATTCCGCGAACTTTGCGATCGGTCCGCGAATTTCATTGAGAGCTTCCTCCATCCTGTTGGATGCCGGTTCTCTCTGCCGTGAATGAAAGGCTACCTTCCATCTGCCAGGCTGTACAACTCCTTCTCCAAGCAAGTTCTATGCATGCAGCAAGGGAGGCGCCCCGTTCCCAAACTCCGCTCATGGCCATTACCTGCTGCTTCATCCTCTTTGGGGCCCGGCAGCCGCGATTCCTCTCCTCAAGCGCTTCCCCTGTTACTACAACAACCAACAGGCAACCGTCTCCCCCTTTACAAGAGGCACATTTGCGCAAGCGCCAATTCTCGGCTCCCGCCGGTGCCCTTCTCCGCACGCATGCGCGCGTTTCCGGTCCTCTTCAGCCGCCTCTTCTAAAACGGCGTCATCAAAATTCTGTTTTTAAAAAAAGGGAGGCGAAAATGATGCCCTGAGTTCTTCCACCCACATCTTCGAATTCTACGTCATAATGCCTCAGAAGGGTTCGGGGCATTTGATAGGTACCGCCGCCTTCCCAGCCGTGTGACGGTTTAGAGAAGGTCGTGGAGACCAACCAGGAAAAGGCGACGTCTGACCGTCGACCAATCGTCGCGCAAACTAAGGAAGGGGCGGGGCTCGTGCGCCTTAAGTTGGAGGCGAGCGGCGAATCTGGTCCGCCTGCAAATCAGGTGGGGGTGAAGTAAGATCTGAATGGTGGTAGTAGTAGTGGTGGGGGGGGGGTTGCATGGGGAATAACCAGCGGGGGTGGGGGCGATGTGCATGGCAGGAGTTCGGTGCAGGGCAAGATGGCTTGCAGTGTAGGAATCGAAGGGAGCGAGAAGACATTCGGAGAGCATTGCTAAAATGTTATGCAGGTGTCCCCCCTTCGTTTCATTTTGCAATCCTTCGTAAATAAAACGGGAACCAGGCCCACCATTTAACATCGAAAATGGGAAAGGGAAAGAAGAAATAATTTATTCAAGTCTTAAAAAACGTGGTTAAGGAGCCATAAGTCTGGTAGTCTGACCAAACGATCAGCCTAGATAGAATGTGGTGCTCCCTTCCTCTCCCTGCTCAAACCATTAATCAGGAGAACAATGCAAAGCAAGCATCTTAGGGTGTTTTTGTCTTCTGACTTATGGTGGATTTCTATTCCAAGGGACAGATAGCTTTCTTGTGGGTACATTTCTCTGGTTGGATAGATGGGAGTGGAATGCACACCTTCCGTGTGGTTATATGTACTGTAGCTGGGCTAATTCATAAACAGAATAGAATCTTTAAAAGAGAAAGCTTTTATATAAGGGAAAGTAGAAAGGGAACAGTGAATCAAAATACCTGTCCTTGTTGAGTTATTTAGACAAAAGTTGTTAAATATGTTCATAGAAGAATTGTTCTTTTTGAGCAACTGGCTGCCTTTTCCATATAAAGATTATGGGAGTTAATGCAAGATTATTGGTTCAGTTTAACCCTGATCAACTGGCTTTTAACTTTCTAGTGTTTTTTAGATCCAATAGAATTGGAACTCCTAGAAATACTAGCCAGTAAGATGCTGCCTGGAAATTCTAGAAGCTTTAGATTTCTTATATCTGGAAAGACTAGGAAGCCTGCTATATGAATTTACCAGGAATTTGTATTTTTCTGAACTTGATTTGTTTGAAAAACATTACATTTGTAACAGATTTTCCTCCTTCCTTTGGGCTTCAACCACACTGAACAACACTATTGCAACTTTTAAAATAGTTTTCCATTTAAGTTTCATATCTGGAATTTGGGAATGCTCCCTTCTTGTCATTTGCAGGCCCGCAAAATGGCCTGATCTAATTGTTCTACAAAGCTATATACAAATTAAGAGGAGATGCTACAAAGCATGAGTGGCATAGCAAGCCTGACTACAAAGTCTAAAACAAGTGTTTTAAGTTCTTGATTCTTCATTTGTTCATATGACAGATTGTGTCTTGCTACTTCTAAGATGAGCCGGTTCTTGAATGTACTTCGTAGTTGGCTGGTTATGGTGTCCATAATTGCTATGGGGAACACAGTGCAAAGCTTCAGAGACCACAGCTTCCTTTCTGAGAAACTCTACACAGGCAAGCCAAGCCTTGGTAAGATTTATAAAGTGTCATTTTTGGAATCTAAAAATGGGGTCTGTATTTTGCCTGTATTGCAAAGATCTTCAGATCTCAAAATGTTGCCAATTTTGAAATGTCTTTTTGCCTTAAATATTGTTTATTCTCCTTTTATCCTGAAGTTTATTGCATCAGTTTAGTTTGTTTAGTGTCCACTTAGTCAGGCTATAACAAATGCTTCAGGTAAAGTGTAATTTTTTCCCCATATCAGGCATTTCTTTACTGAGCTCCATTTTAGGATGGAAAACTTGACCCTTAGAATAATTTTGAAAGCTGAGTATACTTCTAAGTTCTGTTTGAAAACATGTACATAAATAAATTGCTGTAACTCATATCTATTTTTTCTATTTAGTAAATGGCCTCCAAGCTCGAACCTTTGGCATTTGGACCTTGTTGTCTTCTGTGATCCGCTGCTACTGTGCCATTGATATCCGCAACAAGACGTAAGTAACATGAATACTAAAATAAATAGTAAAAGGAACAATTCATTACCAATCCTTTTAAATAAACTCCTTTCCCTTTCAGTCATAGTGCAGTTGGTCATCCAGAACTTTTTTCCAGCTTGTTTATACATTTCGGGAATATTATTGTCTCAAAAGGCTTGTACTTATGAAGAGTAAAATAGGCATAAAGAAGGAAGCGCTTAGTAGACTATTTTTGTAAAAATAATATTAGTCCCTAGTTTCTGTCTAGTTATACCTCTGAAATCAAAAAAATAAAATTCTGGTATCTAATCCAATAAAGAATAATCTCCCTCTTCTGTTAGTATTACTCTCTTACTGACAGTTCTATACCACATATGGTTCATATTTTCCATCATTTGTAGTGTTTTCTGAAAGGATGTACATATAGAGTGTTGTGTGTTTTTTTATTGTTTAGCTGGGTACAGCAATAGGAAAGCAATAAGTTTGGCAATCTGTATTAAGGCACGAACTTTGTTTCTAGAAGTCAAGAGAAACAAGATGTAATAGAACATCCGTCTACAATTTTATCTGCCAAAATGTCAGATTTTACAATCTATTCTGCTTTGACCAAAGCAATTCTAAACAATTAGAAGTTTTTAGTACTCTTCAATTCAGGCCATGCTGAGCCTATTAATCTGTCTAGAGACTGGCGTCTGTAGTGTTTATGGATGGTAGGAACACTAATTGTACATGCTAGAAGTAACCTTTGAGCAACAGAGAGTACAGTACTCTCTCTAGTTTCCAAGAGATGCAGACACTGATGCCTGACAAAGATGCAGAGGTACAGCATACTCATTTGGTTTCAGATTCTCAACTTCCTGAATGATCTGTTTGTGTCATCTTTATACCACACAATAATCCTTTCTTTGTGAATTCTCTGACAGCCTCTATAACATCACACTTTTGACCTTCTTCATTGCCCTGGGCCACTTCCTCTCTGAGGTGTTTATTTATGGCACAGCAGCTGCAACGATTGGTGTCCTGGCACCCTTAATGGTGGCAAGTAAGTACTTACTGAGCTGCTTATCATTTTCTGTTCCTGGAATTGTATTTATTTCCAGGCTGTTTTTTCCACTCTTACTCCATTTGTTTTTCGGCAGGATTTTCACTTTCAAAGATCCCAGTGAGGCTACTTAGTTAGAACAATAATTATTTCTTTAGAATCATACAGGAAACTGAACCTGGAGTTTTCCACAGTCAAATGCAATTAGCCTTTTCTTTTAAGATATGAGATTTTTTAATATTTTGGTTCTCTGTTCTTGCTCAATTTCCATCTTTCAGGTTTCTCCATCCTGGGAATGCTGATTGGACTACAGTACCTGGAGGTAGAAACCACATCGCATAACAAGAAGCGGAATTGACATTACAGTACCTGTCTTCCAATCTGCCCTCCAGTCATCTTCCAGTGTCTACCTTATTGTCTTCCTGATCTTCTTTTTCGAGCCTGTACCCTACAGGGCAGTCAGAACATTCTTAGATTTTCCTATTGGTTATTTTAATTGCCATCATTTTGATATGAGCAGATAATAGCAGAAAAATAGTTTTGAGCATTTTCTCCAAACTGGGTATGGGGAGCAGTATCTTAAAGCATTATGAGATGTAGTAGAAAAGCCAAGAGAAGTTGTGCCAGGTGAAGGTTATAGATTCCCTCTCTTGACATTCTGATGGCAAATGATAGAAAAAGCAGTGCTGTCCAAAGTTTGATGAAAGAGGGGGCATGAAATGTCTCCATGGCCCTGGGCATAGTTATCCATAAGTATAGCTTGCCATAAATGAAAGGGAACTGAAAACTTGTGAAGAAGACGTATCTCATGTCTGAGCTAAATGCAAAGTACCTTATAAATTCTTCTTTTTGAAGATTAAAGACTAAAGAGCGAAGCTTGGTCCTCTTTCCTTTAAGAGGCTACTTGTTTAGGTAACTGCTTTCTTCCATCTTCCAGGAACCTGTTTCCTTTTCTCTGAAAATAGTACAATTCATTTAATTGCTGTTCTTTTCTGAACATACATGAGAACTGGAATACTCTAGGCAAAGCAAGTGCATAAAAAGCCAATATTCCTGCCCAAACAAGGTTGAACTAGAAGACCTCCAAGGTCCCTTCCAACTCTGTTATTCTGTTATTTATTTCAAAATAAAGCTGAAAACCCTTGTAAAAAAGAGGCTGCCAAGGCCATAGAACAAATAAGTAACTTTCTGCTTCTGAAAAAAGAGGCAAAAAATGTGACTTTTTCAATGTAATGACTGCTGCTATTGTAGTTATACAAAGTATCTGGTTCTATCCTTCTAAAATGGAATGGACATTAGTAATGAAATGGATTCTACTTCTGTTCCTATATCTTCCCACATAAACACCAAATTTTATTATGTTTTTATTCTGTTTTTTAGAGTGATGGTTTTAATGGTTTTTATATATTATTATGAATATGTATGCCACCCAAAGTAATTGTGTGATAGATAGATAGATAGATAGATAGATAGATAGATAGATAGATGATAGATAAGCTAGATAAAGAAATATGCATTGGAGATCAGAGTATATGAAACATTTTGGAAATGCACAAAGAACTCAGAAGGGATTAATGGAATCTTGCATTGCATGGTCAAAAATATCATCTCAGATGGTTGTAGCCCACAGTTAGTATTTATCTACCTCGCTTTACCAGTGTGTCAGATGCTAACACTAAATTGTGCATAACTTAGCTGTTAAGA